AAAGGGTAAACACTATTCACAGGTTACTGACCAGTTCAATTATATATTTTTCAGATAATAATGCAGCAGAATAATTCAAAACCAGCTTCTGTGATTATGGAATTTTTCTACATCATCCTCAATCCACTGAACAAATGTCAACATTTTCCTCATGTTAACACTGTTTTGAATTGCATCTCCAGGAAGTACTTCACAGAAAATAATTGTTTCTGACTATCTAGTACCAATGAATCATAAATTCCTATCTGAATAGCATTACAAAAGAACAGGGCATGTTTAAGGCTTTCCCAATGCATGTATTAATGTCTGAGAGCCAGACTTCCTGTATCTTAGGGCTACAAGATATTAATGTGGATGTGATTAGAGCCCTGCGCAGATACAAAATTTGTATCTGCATCCATCTGAGATCTACAAACATGGTCCACGAATGGATATAAAGCAGATATCCGCAGCTTTGCAGGGCTCTAGATGTTAGGGTTTTTTTTTTACTTTGCAGTGAGCTGCAGTTGATAATCTTAATACACAATTCTCAAATGTGTCCAAAGCATTTTAAAGAGTAATACACTCAGAGTCAGGCTGAGAGCAGACACTGCGATGTTATGGCATAAAAAAGTAAATGCACAGAATGCTCTTCAGCCTATTGGTTTGTGTGTTTGCATTTCCCCCTCATCTGGCCCTGTGCTGACATGGACCATTTATCTTTTTTTTTTTTCCTTTCCTTTTTTACTGCAGAAATCTGTGTCCTGTGAAAATTGCTGTTCTGTCAAAAAGCAAGCAAATTTTGCATATGTAACAGCATCACTTCTGCACTGCTGGTAGAGAAACTCTGTTGTATTTCAAACTGTGTTTTGGAAACCTATAAGCACCTCAAGCCACATCTCCAGAATATGTATTTGGTAACAAGATCTTGCTAAGGAAGTCTGAGTCTGGTTCATGGTGCCCATCTGAGTGGGGGAATTTTAGAAAGTACTTGTTCCTTCATGAGGAACTGGAAGTACACTTCAGTTTATCCTGCATTTATCGTATGTAGGAAGTGCATGTATTTGGGCCTGTCATCCCAGGGCAATAGGCAGGCTAAGATAAATGAGTTGCTAATGGCTGCCCACTAATTATAGGGCAGTTAATCTTTTGTTGGTGTCTTGCTCACATGATTAAGCTGTCGGTAGAGGCGTTGAGAAGAAAATTGACATCTATGAATATCCCAATAAGAATTGAGTTGTGCTGTCACTGGGGATACTGGTAGGCAGAATGGAGACATTATTAGTGAATTCTGTCTTGTAGCCAGGCTTGGACTATAACTCTTTATTTGTTGGGTTGGCCGGCTGCATGAGTGATGTTGCATTACAGTCTTACTTAGGACTATTTACCATTAACTGGTGCCATATGTGCCTTTAGGACTGGAATTTTGTGGAAGGTAAAAGTGATCTATGGTAGGAAGAAAGACACACTCAGGTACCAGCTAATATTACAGGGCCAGAATGGGGAGAGTTCTATATTCAGAGCAGATAAGATTCCATGAGCTTCTTAGGGGAAAAGAAGCTAATCCTGCTTTCCTTTCCCAGAGACCACCTCCTTGCCCTGTTTCTCAGGAGCCAATGTTTGAGGGTGATGCAATGAAACTGAAATGTAAGAAGTGGGATTTTCTGGGACTGTTTGAAAATGGAATTATTTGTTCTACAATAAGCAGAGGCCAAACTTTGCTCTGTGCTTCCACTAAGTGTACTGATCAGAACCTTAGGTATAACTCTATGCAATTCATTTACTGTGTAAGGAATAGAGACCAGTCTCTAGTGTTATTGATGACCTAGTCTTTGGTTCCCAGACACAGGAGTTCCTACTGTCCTTAAAGCTCTCTTATTCCTTCAAACCCAAAGGACTTCCATCAATACAAATGTCAGATATGAGAAGAAAGGACAAGGCATACACTACAGAATGAACGTTTTTCCTTTTGGCCTTGTTTTTATAGCATTTACTATTCTGTTCCAAGTAGAATTCCCCTGGCATTGAGACTCATCCCCTGGCACAGCTGTTATCCTGCCAGACAGAAAATTAGGCAACTTTTGTTTGGCTAATAGATGAAAGTCCTTAAAATGATTTGGCCCATTGCCATGATTATTGGGTACACATGGCAGAACATGTAGAAAATTTGCTCACACGTGAGGATTTGTCTGCAGTGTGCACTCATACTGAAAAAGGGGAACAGTCACAGGGGAAATGGAGAAGGTTTGTATGTTCATTATCTAACATTTTATTATGTGGTAACTGTGAGCTAATTTCTGCAGAACCTCAAAGTCCAGAGTGTGGGTTCAGTTTGGATACAATTTACTAATTCAGATTTTATTTATAGATTTAGATTTCTAATAAAAAGGCGTCCATCCAAAAGCTGTGGGCACCTTCCCAAAACTTAGAAACCCATCCAAAAATATACAGCACATATGCTTATCTAAAGCTCAGCGACTATTAAAATCTCTTGAGCCTGCTAAATGGGGCTGGAGCTCTTGAGAGAAGCAGCTTTCCCATAACATTTGTGCTTCCAGACCCAGCTGGAAACATGGTGAAAGCTGATTTTTCACCGTAGTTCAGCTCTTCTGGTTCCAGTACACAAATGGGGCAGGTGAGTAGGGGAGTTTTCTGAAAGGTTCAGACCCCTGAAAGTTTGGTTTGATTTTGTTTCCAAAAGGAGGTGAAGATTTGGGATGGAGGATGCTGGTGGTTTCTATTTCCTTTGAACTACTTTGCCTATCCCTAATACAAATTCTAATGCAGAGAGCAGAGCACTGTCGTGATAGATTCAGGGTTGCCTGTGTTGCTATGCAGATCGGCTTTTGCCATTTGTACCAACTGGAGGTTTTTTAGGTCATGTGTCTTCATTCCTACATTTAATGCATTGTGATAATCAAGCCTGGAGGGCATGAACACATTTATCATCATGCCCAGGTCTGTACCCAATAGGAGGAGTGCAGTCTTCTGGCCAGTTGCAGATGGAAATGTTTTTTGTTTTTGTTTTGGGGGTTGTTGGGTTTTCTTTTTGGCCACCATGGGTTTTTTGGTATCTGATAGAACTGAGGAATCTGAAGGGACCTGTAAGCTGTGGGCCAACTTTTACAATGTATGAACAATGAGGCAAATACTTCAAAATGTTTCCATTTTCCTAAAATTATAGCCTCCCTTTTCCTTGGGTTCATCTTTTGCCAGATGCTGATTTCAGCTGAGACAGAGCAGGGAGATGGCTGTGTAATACTGTCACACCAGCTCTCAGTAGCTTCATGGATATTGAATAATACGGAGCAAGGATTGAACTTGTGATTCTGTAGGTGAGGCCTTTGGAGGTGGAGGAACAATTACCCAGAACAACCCCCTGAGTTTGTTCAGTCTGAGAGGAAGGACCTAAGCCATTTCAAGGTGTTTTCATTCACCCCTGCATGTTCTTGGAGGTAGGTCGAGGGTATTTGGCCATCAACAGTATCAGATGCCACAGAGAGGATGAGTGTGAATGGAATTCCCTTGCCTGTGGGCCATCCACTAGAGCAGGGGTGGGGAACCTTTTTTCTATCACGGGCCATTGACCCACATAAAAAAAAATCAATCGTGGACCACACGCAAGTAAAAAGCAACTTAATTTAGGGGTTTTTTTAGAGAGAGAAATATAAAACGTTCAACTTACCTGCCCGAGGCTTCCCCCCCCGCAGTGGGGCGAGCCAGCGCTCATGACTCCAGCCCTGCAGAGGGTATGAGGGGAGGGCCCTGAGACTTGCCGCGGGCCGCATGAAATTAAGCAACAGGCTGGATCCAGCCGGTGGGCCGTAGGTTCCCCATCTTTGCACTAGAGCAACATGTTCGATTTCTGTACTGTGTCCTGGCCTGAAGCCTGGCCGGGGGGTCCAGGATGGCTGGTGCTGTTGGCTGTTTTTAGCTGTTTCTCGATTACCTTGTGTAGAAAAAGGCTAAACAAGGAGCAGTGACTTGCAAGGCCTCCTTCATAACATCCATGATGGTGCCTTAGTACTGCTCAGACTTGCATATTTTAGAGGGAGTGGTGGATTCCTCTTGTCACAGAAGGTATTGACAGTCTCGGGGGTCCCAGATATTCTCCACTCACCCACTGCCAAGGAAGGCAGGGCTCAGTCACAGGTGGTGACCGTGGTAGCTCGCAGTACATATGTGACTACAGCCTGTGTGAACAGGCTAAAAATATGATCAACTTCTGAGATAAAAATCTGTAGGAGACTCACTGGTGAGTGCAGACTGTTGAGTAACTATCCTGTTGGGATCCAGGAAGTGGGCAGGCGGAACTGCTAAAGGACCTCCCCCCAGCCTAAGGGGAGGAGCCACAGGACCTGGAAGCCAAGTGATTCTAGGAGACAACTAATGAAATAACAACAGGGACAGGAGTAGCGATATCCTCGAGAACTTGTGGAGGATGGGAAGGGGCAAATATAGTCCCTATCTATAAAAATGGGGAATCAGGACAACCCAGGGAATTATAGACCAGTCAGCTTAACTTCGGTAACTGGAAAGATAATGGAGCAAATAATCAAACAATCAGTTTGTAAGCACCTAGAAGATAAAAAGGTGATAGCAATCAACATGTTATAAAGAGGAGGGTGATAAATTAATTCTCCTTCGCTGAGGACAGGACACAAAGTAATCTTAAATTGCAGCAAAGGAGATTTAGATTGGACATTAGGAAAAACTTTCTAACTTGAGTAGTTAAGCACTGGACAAATTACCAAGGGAGGTTGTCTAACCTGTTCTTAAAAATTTTCAATGATGGAGATTCCACAAACACCTGTTGGGGATGGTCTTGATAATGCTGAGTTCTGCCTCAGTGCAGGGGACTGAACTACATGATCCATTCAGTCCTACATTTCTGTAATTCTGTGGGCAGCAGGGGGCTTTGTTAGAGATTCTGAGGGCACTTGAAAATACTGAGAGTTTGGCCTCTGTTTATGTGATTTTGCTAAGCCCCAATTGTTTTCTTGATACTTCTTACTTTCCAGGTTCATAGCCAAGAATACCATGAGGTTGCAGCGCCTGGGCATAACCCACGTCCTGAATGCAGCAGAGGGAAAATCCTTCATGCATGTGAACACTAATGCAGAGTTCTACGAAGGCACAGGCATCACCTACCATGGCATTAAAGCTAATGACACCCAAGAATTTAACCTCAGTCGCTATTTTGAGGAGGCAGCTGACTTTATTGACAGTGCGCTGTCCCAGAAGGATGGTAAGGCATCTCCAAGAGTCTCTCTGCCCTGTTTTCTAGCCAGTATGTGAATTTACTGGCCATTTGTTTCATTGTTTGAAATATTCCTTTTTTCTTTCCTCAGTTTTTCAGTGGAACAGAAACCAAAGTATTCAGATCAGGACTTAGACTTCTTGCTGAGGAGTTTAGGGCACTTGAATATACAATGTAGAATTTGCTGTCTGTGAACAGAGCCCCTCAATGTATGAAACAATGGAAAACTGCCACAGCAGTGTGTGATTTGGGGAGAGTAAAACAGCTGGTGCATCTTAGCAATGAAAGTGTCAAGGAAAAATCATATTGGAAATGCTATGCTAGGAAGAGAGGCTTTAATATTTCCTGAACATAGTAGTGGATCAGAATGGAAAATCTGGAAAGTAACGCAGGACCCAAACACTAATTCAAGACGGTAAAAATCGTAAACCAGAGTCAGGAAGGGCATTGTAAAATGCAACACTCCGCTTGCAACACAAGCTAATATTAGAGATGCAGATTAAATGCAAATAACACATGCAAGAGTGGATAATTTCTTAGCATAGGGCAGAGGCAGTCAATAGGTGGACTGCGGGCCAAATCCGGACCACAAGATGCTTTGGAACAGACCACAAAATCTTTTTATTTACTTGTTATCATTACTGTTGTTATTTTTATATTATTTTCTCTGGAGTCTGGACATTGAGTATACCTTGACCAAGAAATTTGGATTTGACAAAAAATAATTGATTACCCCTGGCATAGGGCACCGATGTATTTTTAAAAATCCCACTAGGCATCTAAATATCTTTAAATACCTGGCCCCTATTGTTTGTGAGTATCTAAACCCCACTCTCTCAGTGGTTAGGGTTAGGGTTTGTCTAGTTGTCAGAGGGTGGAGATGGATGGCAGGAGAGAGATCACTTGATCATTACCTATTAGATTCACTCCCTCTGGAGCACCTGACATTGGTCACTGTCGGTAGACAGGATACTGGGCTGTATTGACCTTTGGTCTGACCCAGTATGGCTGTTCTTATGTTAGGAGCTCACTTACCTATTTCTTTTCTTCTTTCTGGTAGCAGGGGTAGTGGGTATACTATATTTTATATGACTGTGAAGGAATTCTCCCTTTTTTAAAAAGGGCATTTTATTATTGCATCATAAGCCCCCATGCATTTGAGCATGGCCTTTTTCTTTATCCGATATCCTGACAGTGGGCATAAGTTTTCACACTCCTGAAACAAATGCAACTAAAATCAGTTAAATTATGATCCATAGGTTTCATCCATCAATCCATTCTGAGGAGCTGTTTCCTCTGTCAACAGCTCTATTTGCACAAGGCTCCAAGGGAATATCCTTGGGTTTTTTGTTTTTTTGTTTTTAACCCCTTCTGTCCTTCCCAGAAGCAAGGAATTCTAGGAATAAGATAACATCCCCAGCCCAATATATCAGCCCCCCCCCCCCCCCCTTTAGCCTCAGGAACTTGTTATACCATGTGTTCACTCTTCTGTCCTGGACTGATGGGGTACAACTATGTTTTCACAAACCTTTCTTTGACCATGCACTGTGTGATTGTTCCTTTGAAACAGAGGTTTAGAAACACCTTCAGTATATTGTCAACCTCTTGAAAGAGTGTTTTGGGGGCAGCTCCTCTTCCATTCACATCACATAAAGCATCTCCTCTCCCATTCATGGTCACACAACGTCCATGTGGCAGCTACAGAGGTTGCCTACATTGAATAGTGATATTAGAAAGGTATTCCATTTATTTTGCTGACTTTTGTGCAATAAAAGTTGTTGTTTTTTGAAAAAAGCTAGTTCTGCTGTGTTTAGTGCTTTTCATTTAATCTCTTTCCCCCCTGCGAATTCTGTTCTGTTTCCCTCAGCTGGAAATGAGGAGTCATACCAGTATTTTCCCAATCGGGTCCTTTCTCACAGATTAATTAACAGTTTTCTACATTGAACAGCATTTGCTATCTGCACCCCATTCACCAAAAACAGGCAAACCTTTTAGGATTTGATTAATTGTTCCTCTGTTGTTTACTTGGTCATCTTTAGATGTAGCATGAATGCTCAGAAAGTAGGACAGCAGATAAGGACCAAAAACTCCAGCTCAAAGGAAGCAGGTTTTATGCATGTCAGGGGAATCACTGACATTTTCAGATATTTTAACACAACTGACTCAGTGCTGCTTCTTTCTCCCCTGGGGTCTCCTTCACATGTAACTGAGGTGGAAACCATAGCAAGGGAGTCTGAAGAGGTTACACGACAGGCAGAAATCTTGGGGAATTCAAGGTTTGGGTTGTTTTTTTTATTCAGAGCCCTCATTTTAACAGTAATAAAAAGCCATCAATGACCCAGTTGGCTCCTAGGTGAACTGTGCAAGGAAAGCGAGTTCGTAACTAAGGAGAAGAAGGAGGGAGGGTAGCTGTCTTGACTGTACATGCCCTTAGAACGCCCTGCTCATTGCTTTACTCATCATGGGGCCAGATGTGAAGTGAGATGTATCAACTTACTCTTTTATTCTTAGTGGGCTAAATTTGGAGATGGCATGTAGGATTGGGTGTAAATTACACAGTCTAAGATGTGTAATATACACATAAGGGAGTGGTACAGAAGAAGGTATAAATTACACCAATTGAGACGGCCTCTAGACAGACGTGAATTTGGGCCATCTGTACAATTTCCTCATCAGGAGAAGTTTATAGACTTTACCAAGGCCCAGTGCTTGTACAGAGGGCAGGGTTAATCTACTCTAGAGTTGAATGTGACAGTTCTTAATATGAGTGAAATTGTAAGGGCGTTAATTAATGTTTGTTCAGTGCTTTGAAGGTATAAAGCAAGTTGAGTGATGAGTAATCCAAAAGAGTCTGCAGAAGGTATTATAGTAGCGCCAGTGTATTCGAACAAGAAGAAATGGTAACTGGGAATTGGTGTAGCAGCTCCTCTGATTAAACATTTCTCTGTTAGAGAGAGAGAGAGGGTGACACTCCCATGCTGGTTCCAAACACTGTCACTGGTCAGAAGATCAGAACAGTTGATAAAAACTGTCTCTGGTTTGAATAAACTAACTGCTGCTTGGTTAAAAGAAACAACGTCTGAGTCATGAGATTTTTAGCTCTGAGAACTCTCACTTCAGATGGATTATCTGGTTATGGTATGTGCCCCCTGGAATTTCTGCTGCACCAAATTATCTTAAACATTTTCAAATGGAAGTTCTGGTATAATCTTAGATACCTTGCTGCTCCCCAGAGTCCCAGGAAAACTTGCTGCAATGCTGCAAAGCAAAGCTTGTAACATGGGTCTCCTCTGTACTGAAATCTTAGACGTCCAGAGGACAGTAGGTCAGCTTGTGCTTCTCATCAGGTCATTATTTCTACTTACTTCATATTTCTTCACACGCTCCCAATGATTTTCTCAGCCCACATCTGAACAGCTGAAGAGTCTTTTGCAGAGGGGGAGAGAGAACTCTTTCTAGGAAGTCCAGGGGGATCTGCCTTTGGCATATTTTTATTTTTTTGGGAGGGGGGTTTAGGGGATTGACAACCTACAGTTTGGTCAATCCAAAAGCAAGAACTTACCTCTTCCTAGTAGCTTTGTGAGCCAGGGAAACAGGCCTGCACTGGGAAGGAGAGTTTAGGAGGTCCAGACAGTTGGGGTGAACTGTAGCAGAGGCACGGAAGTCCTGCTACACCTGCTCAATTTGGATGGTGCTCACAGAAATGTGGATAATAGTGACAAAATTACTCTGAATTTTCAGTGCCCTTGTTAATTCTGATAGGGCTCCTTAAGTCTCAGGTGCTGCTGTTATGCCACTTCTGACCTACCTGTCTAGTTATTATGCAAAAAGTAATAGACTTTTAGCTAGGCTAAAGGTCCATTCCAGTTATTAAATGAATCCATTGTTAAAATTATTTGTAATGTATGGTAGTGCAGGGAGTTCATTGGCTTCACTCCCCTTCCTTTTTCAGACAGGTCACCAGCCTCTCATTCGTTCCTGTAGTGATAGTGATAACTTTTCTCGAATACTGCAATGATGAGCAAAGGTGGAAAGAGAAGTGGCACCAAGTTCCATTAATAAATAAATGGAGAGTGGTTAGGAGATCAGCCTTTAAACTAACACAAAGGTTGCAATGCTGATGTTCCTAAAAAATGACAGGTTTCAGAGTAGCAGCCGTGTTAGTCTGTATCCGCAAAAAGAACAGGAGTACTTGTGGCACCTTAGAGACTAACAAATTTATTAGAGCATAAGCTTTCGTGGACATCCGAAGAAGTGGGCTGTGGTCCACGAAAGCTTATGCTCTAATAAATTTGTTAGTCTCTAAGGTGCCACAAGTACTCCTGTTCTTCTTTTTGTTAGATGACTGTCTCTATCCATTAGAGTTGGGTGAATAATACAAAACATTTGCTATGTATATTCATTGGAATTTCTAAATGAATTTGCTTGACCGACCGTATTTGTCCCTTTGTGCATTTGCTTTCTATGAACATTCAAGTAGTGCAGATTACTGGCACAAAAAGTTGTGAAAAGCAAATTTTGGGGAAAATTTCAGTGTTTGCTCTGGAAGTGCTTGCACGCTCATCCAGGCCTCAGTTCAGCAACATACTTAAGCATGCGCCTACCTTTAAGCCTAGGTAGTCTCACTGAACTTGCTGAAGTGAACAGAACCAATGTCGTAAGTCTTTACTGACAAATCAAAATTGAGCAGCGCAGACTGAGTTGTTTAGAGTCTTCATGATCAATCCACACAGTATAAAATGTAAAGAAATATAAAAAAAATGAAGAAACCACAACTTGAGCACGAATATGCAACAAACAGAAAAAAAAAGAGGTCACTTTTGGTTGTTATGAATTATTCTCTCCGCTCTGGTCCCTGTGAAGGCTGCAATGAAAAGAAAGTCTAAAAGGAATGCTGACAGTTGCACCACTAAAAATAATTCTGAAAAGTCAGGCTTAGACTGAGAGGACCATGTCACATTCTCCATCAGAGCATGATAGTTTGCTGG